CTCGTTTATCCAAAGATAATTCCATGCAAACTATTACTTTTTATTATATCCTTTTAATGGACGAAAAAAGTTTGGAGTGTAAGGCAAATAGTTTTTTTTTTTTTTTAGATTATTTAAACGAATGTAATTTTAAATGGCAAAATACGAAATTTAAGTGAAATCAGTTACATATTTCCTGAGAAATCAAATTTTAAATATTTTTTATTCTTAAAAATCTTATTTTTTAGGAACTATTCAAGAAATTTTCAAAATCTCAAATTTTATATGTATGTTTATGCTCTCCAGATCAAAGTATTGGTACCGTTCTTCCCATTTGTTGACGTTTTTGTGCCGGACATCGTAATTTAAAATATCTTTCGCATTAATTAATTAGCATATTTGAGATCACCCCATCGAACTTTACTGATTGAATCCAGAACGCGAAGATCCCATCATTAAATCAAAAAATATTCAGGGTGGTCCGTGTTTCATTTTGCGCACTTCATTTTCATTTTGCATTTAACTATCGATAAATATTCACGTAATCCAGCGCGAGAAGTTTATATATTTTTTGTTTGTTTACAGCTCAATTTTAGTTTCTGCCGGCCAGTTGGCAGAGCGGTTACCGTGCCTGACTGTGAAGCCAGTGGCTGAGGGTTCCCAATCCCGCTCTGGCCATGGGCGTTTCTCTCTGTGTGTTGTCCTCTGTTGTGTGTGATATGCTCCATCTGAACGCGTATCTGTGGCAGTGTCGCGTGGGTAATGTTGCTCGCCTCATTGACTTTGTTCACAAGGTGCTCACCAGGCAGCGCAAAATGAGTAACACTTCCGATATATTCCATGGCGAAGAACGATAAGTTCAGGACCCACCATTTAAAAAAAATTTTGGAATTTGGGAACAATTTATATAGGTTTTTGTAGTAGAAATGCGGCTTCAATGGTAAGGATTATAATTAGGAAAGCAATTTATTTGACAACTTATTTGAATGCGCCAGGTAGCACATGGGATTATAATTCTAAAAACAATTTATTTGACAACTTATTTGAATGCTCCAGGTAGCATATGGGATTATAATTTGAAAAGTAATTTATTTGACAACTTATTTGAATGCTCCAGGTATCATATAGGATTATAATTCGAAAAACAATTTATTTGACAACTCATTTGAATGTTCCAGGTAGCATATGGGATTATAATTCGAATAACAATTCATTTAACAACTTTTTTGAATGCTCCAGGTAGCATATGGGATTATAATTCGAAAAGTAATTTACTTGACAACTTATTTGAATGCTCCAGGTATAATATGGGATTATAATTCAAAAAAAAATTTATTTGACAATTCATTTGAATGTTCCAGGTAGCCTATGGGATTATAATTCGAATAACAATTTATTTGACAACTTATTTGAATGCTCCAGGTAGCATATGACACTTCAGATAATTGCTTTTATCGATAAGGCTAATATTAAGGTTCCATGATTATACGTTGTAAGGAAAATAACACTTTATAAGCAGCTATTATATTTTTAGATTGAACTATTTATTGTTATTACGTACCCGTCAATTATTGTTATATATTGTTATTACGTACAGTAATTTTGCTTGTGTATAACTTTAATACACAATAACACATATTGTGTAATGAAATTGCTCAATAAGTAAAAAGAGAATCAATTGCAAAGTCATTAAAATAATATAAGTTATTGACGTATATGATAAAAAAGAATAAACTTCCGTAAAACAACAAAATATCTTCACAGATGTATTGCTTTTATGTTCGTTTTCCTCCATCCATTTCGAAAAATATTGTTAAGAAATCTTTATTTTTCTCAATCTTAATAAATTTTGAAAAATAACTTAATAAAAAAAATCCGCTTAGTAACACGTGTTCCATTTGGCTGAATCGTCAAAATAATTATTTTCCATTCTAACAGAAAAAATCTTTTTTTTAATTAAAATACAATTTGGAAAAATTTTATTTATTAAAAAAAGTATAATGATATTTTTAGTTCTAAAATTCATTTTTTACACACGTGTAGTACTCTAACAGTAGAAAAGAAAGAATATGATCAAGCATATTTAACTTCGTATTCAAACTACAGTACATTCTCGATTATCCGGGCACGGATTATCCGATTTGCGGATTATCCGTGCTCTTTCCGGAGTCACACAAATATAAAGAGAAACATTTTCAAGATTAAAAATATTTGATTCATGAAGTTATAACACTTTTAAATTTTTGGAAGCAATATTCGTTATTGGATTGCAGTATATGGAATATCAGCAGCATGGTCAAAGGTAAAATCGTCTACGTTATCACGATCTTAAAGAAAGATCATACCGCTTGATGAACTATCCTCTTCAGATGTTCAGGAAAAATATGATAACAGTATTCTCGAACTAGCAAAAGAAATCTAAGGTTTCGAAATTCTTGATGAAGAAAATTTGGAAGATAGGTTTCAAAGTGATGCATGTGAGCCAGGCTTCCAGTATTTGACCGATGAAGACATCGTTATGTTGTTAAATCAAAGAGTGATGATAGTAACTGATGCAGAAGATGTAGTAAATGAATGAAATACAATTTCTCATTCTGCTGCTCTGTGGAAACTTTATTAGATTATATGGGTGGATTTGATTACAGTGACATTACTGCGGATTTTTCTTTAATAAAAGGAGTTTTCGGATTATCCGTGATTTTCGATTGTCCGTGCGATCTGTCCCGGTGATAACCTGGAAAATCGGGAGTACACTGTATTTTTCTGAAAAACTTTTGGACTTTCTTCTCTATGTTCTATCTGTAATTCTTACTGTGGGTGCAACCTTGTCCCGCCTAATTTTTTTTTTTATTTTTATTTTCAGTGAGCTGCATAATCGGTCTTGCCGATGAGCAGACCTAGTGTGTTCTCCAGAGGTGATATCCACACTTTCACGACCACCACAATGGGTTAGATACCGTTGGTCATGTTAATTTGGACGTCTAGTTTCTGCCACACTAGATGGCAGCACCGAGACTCTATTTGGATGCTAAAGTGCACTAGGAATTTAATTTTGCTGGAAATGCCAAGAGCCGTCCCGCCTAATATGATGCCCCTGAAAGATTCCAAACAACCTGATTTTCTGATACTTGACGAATGTCAATATATACTTGTGAGCATTGGAGAAAAAAAAATTTCAGTTACTATCGACGATACTCGTTTCCTTGAAAAAGTGACGATAGATATTTCTTCAATTCGACGAAGTGTTCACTTGGAGCATATACCAGGAAATGATTTCGTCGAACACGAAAAAAGTTTCGTGAAATTTGTGTATTAATATTTTACAGTGTGTATTTTTAAAATTTATGTTTATTTCATATTTATTTGACAATTTATGTAGTTTGGCAAGAAAAGTCAGTTTAACATTCAAAATATCATCACATACTTTAACTAAAATGGTTTAAGGGATGATTTATCAACCGCATATTGCATGCCATGCGTATTCAACTTAAACATACTAATTCACTATACTATAGTATAATAAGAGGCGCATGCAGAAAGTAAGTTTCCCAAATTTATAAAAAAAAGAACTCACACTTTCAGGAATATATTTATTGGCAACAAGTACAGCAATGTTTCAGCTATTTTTCAGCATAGCAACCACCAGAATTGAGACACTTGTCGTATCATGGGATCAACTTTTGTATCCCTCTGTCATAGAACTCTGGCGCCTGTGAATGGAACCAGCGTGTGACAGACGTCCACCGTTACTGCGAAACACTGCGGAAGTTGTGACGTGCCATTCAAAACAAGATTCGTGGAATGCTTACTGCAAGTGTTGCGCTCCTCCATTGCAATGCTTGTCCACATACGGCACGACGCACAGCAGCTATTTTGACGGAATTTGGCTGGGAGTTGTTTGATCATCCACTCTACAACCCTCGTATTGCTCCCAGCGATTTTCAAGTTTTCTTGCACCTCAAGAAATTCCTGTCCTCCGGTGAACGTTTGGGCAATGACAAAGAGCTGAAGACGTCTGTCACAAGCTGGTTCCATTCACAGGCGGCAGAGTTCTGCGACAGAGGGATACAAAAGTTGACCCCAAGATACGACAAGTGTCTCAATTCTGGTGGTTGCTATGTTGAAAAATAGCTGAAACATTGCTGTACTTGTTGCCAATAAATATATTCCTGAAAGTATGAGTTCTTTTTTTTTTATATAAATTAGGGAAAATTACTTTCTGCATGCGCCTTGTATATATACTAGTGTCAGAAATTAATAGAATTTGCAGACTTGACCGATTATCTCTAGGACTGCTGGACTGATTTTAATGAAATTTGATATGTACATACATTTGATATAATACGAAGTAAATAACCAATCAACAATTATAATACACACGAATGATCGGGCGTAACACTCATTGGAGTCGGAAGGTATGAAACAGCGGTTGCAGAATAAACAAAAAAAAATGGGTCAATAAGGGTTATGGTCCCCTTTTACAGATGTACAGCGTGATTTCTTACATGAAATAAGGCAGTTTATCATTTCCTGTGGCAATTGGCCTGAATTGTCCAGCAACCTTCTGACTCCAAGGAGTGTTACGCACAATCAACATTACAATTGTTGTATGGTTATTTGCTTTGTATTGTATTAATGCATGCACATATCAAATTTCATTAAAATTGGTCCAGTAGTTCTAGAGATAATTGACAAAATTCTCTTAATTTCTTACCCCAGTGAAGCATACTATAGTATACAAAAATAAATACACTGCATTATTGTTTTATTTTCATTGTACAGCATTTTTTATTTTTAATATTTAACAAATATTTTTTTAAAAAAATATTCCGTAATTACTAATTACAAAATAATTGTAAATTAATTAATTTCAATCAACATCAAGACCTTGACTTTTGAATGTTTAGTTGATAAATTTATTTAGTTAAGTAAAAGTTTATTTTTCAGAAGAAGTNTTGCCTAATATATATATATATATTAATTCTGAATTTGTTTTAAGATAAAATATACTTCTGACATACCATCTGTGGGAGAGGTGTGTAACTTTCTGCAGAGGTTGTGGACACCCGAGTGTTCGTCTTGTATTCTTTGAACGGCCTCGTAACCTCTGCTCTCCATGAGGTCTCGGAGTTCGTCCACCGTCACCCCAAACTCCTCCTGGTCCCCAGCACCTGATCCGCTCGCCATACCTGTAAACAAATGCAAAATTAATACACGTTTTGAGAAAAATTTAATTCATACATATTTGAAGCATTTAAGCAAAGTTCAACAAACTTTTTCTGATTCACTCATTTCCAAAAGGATAATATGCTTTTGAACATTGGATTGAGATATATACTGAACTGAAACATTTATTAACCCCTTAACGATCGGTTAATTTTCAAGAAAACAGTCATAAAAGTGCCTAATTTGCCAAATACTTGTATTTGAATAGTGCTGACATCTAGTTCAAAATAAACTAACTGTCTACAATTTCCTTAAAAATATCCCGGTATTGCCATCTGGTATGTAAAATGAAAAATACAATGCTTTCCGGGCAGAAGAAATAAATTAGTTTTATTCTTATTGGAGCGTTACTGATGAACACTCCAACCCGGGAATTTTACGGGAACAAGAAATAGAGGGTGAAACCTCACCCTGTCATTTTCACGGAAGCAAGAAGGAAGGGGTTAAGCAAAATTCAACAAACTTTTTCTGATTCACTTATTTCCAAAAGCATAATATGCTTTTGAACATTGGATAGAGATATATATTGCATTGAGACATATATTAACACATTAAAGTATCTTAAATTTAATATACTAGTTGTTTGAAAAGCGAATGTCTCGATAATTTCTCCTTGAATTAAAAAAAATCGATATCAAATATTTTTAGATACATTCAATGATATCAAACTCGACTCTCCAACCTTACACCTGGGAGTAGGAGTTTAAATTAATACTTTAAACACTCTCAGAAAAAATAAAACTCTCCTTTTAATGGTTCAGCAATTCTTGAGCTATATTTTGCTAATTGTGAGAATTATTTCGACACGAAATCACGTGATTTGTGACGAAATGGGAAATCTGAAATACATGACGAAAATGTTTCATCTACTCGAAACCACATTGTAGTACATTATGGGAGATAGTTAAGTAGTTGGTTGGTTCTAATGCCACTTGCCACACTGGCAAGCCTGCTTGGTGAAACCTAGCAAAATTTAAGGCAGAGTGTGCGTTTCTTTTTTTTCAGTGGCGCCATCTCCGGCCAAGAATTTGACTTCAGCCACACCATCCGTCGCACCCGTTTATAGGGCGGACCCATTCATACATCCATTCATTCATCCACAGATCGTAATTTTGACCTCAATCAGAGAAATCTCTAATCCAGTCCCCCCCCCAGAGGTATTGATTTGTTATGGAAACATGGAGGACTTTTGCGACTCGGCAGATTTTACATGCATCAGTCACTTTACTTCAAGAGGAGTCTTCGGCCAGCGGGATTCGAACCCACGAACTCTCGGACATGGGCCCAGCGCCCTACCGATCACGCTATCCCGGCACAGATAGTTAAGTAGAATGACGAAACTAGGATGAACTAGACGATCAAAAATAGATTGACCAGAAAAGTTGACCGGACTGGTCAAGTTATTGGCCTCGTATCAGGAAGCTCCCAGGCTCGAATGGCTGTAATTTATCTCTCTGTTTCATCAGTCTTTCACGTATTATTAAGCTGATATTGAAGCGGGTATATAGTGACATCGATAAAATGATTCTAAGACAGATTGATACATAAACACTACGAATTTGGTTGTTTTTTTCCAAAAATATAGAATGACAAAATATTTCTTTGCTATTGAAGAAATTCGTTTCATCGAAAAATTGACACTAGTTATTTCGTCACTTTGACGAAACGTTCTCTCGTAATACCAGGGAGCGGTTTTGTTTGAAAAGGATGAAGTTTCGTGAAATCTGAGTATCCATTTTAAAGTGAATAATAAGTCGCATTTATGAAAATGCCATATTATTTTCAAAAAATTTTATTAAATCTACTTTTTTCTAAAATTCACGTTAATTTAATACTGCTTTGTGTGTAGAAGTCTTGCAATTATAAATAGGTGGATAATAGTTTTAAAAATATATTTTTAAAAATTTTCGAAACATGTCTTGGTCATCCAGTTTTTTAATTTCACGTCTTTTTTTGCGTTATCATACCTCAAACAGATCTATTTTTCTTTAAAATAACATTTGAATAATTTGTATTTAAAAGTAACAACTTTAATTGAATCTAAATCCGTCAAATAACTTTGTTTCATTATTGATGAGATATCGGTTTATGCGATGAAATAATTAGAAGACACTGTTAACTAAATTTTTCACCAACAGCCAGTAATTAAGCATTTTGTTTCAAGAAATATAAATGCAAGAAAAAGATGTTATTTAAACAGAAATATTTTAGTAGATATCCTCGTCATCGGGAATCACATTACTGAACAGTTCTTGGAACAGTTCTTCTGTTCTTCTTTCGAACATTTCTTTCAAAAAGTGCCATTTAGCAATCACGTAACCATCATACATTGTTGTACTGCTGAATATCGATTTCGTCAATCAATGAAAACTGCTCGCAAACGATCTCGTTAACAATGGAATAGATTATAGATATATTCTAAAAGTTTGTTCAAGTTATTTCGAGAAACAACAGAGAGTTTTAATTAGTATCCGATATTTGAAAAAAAAATGTTCCCAGAGCTTTTTATTCTTTTATTTGTTTAGAAAAGTCATTTATTTTTACTTTTGAATATTAAAAAATCGTTTCAAAAATTCGAACTAAATTAATTAAAGTGGTTAAAGTTAAATTTAAGCGAAACTTTATTCAAAATGCATCCGTATTCAAGCTAGCAATTGGACACCTTCAAGTGAATCGCGGCATTTGACGATTCAGAAGCCAATAAAATTCAATACGTATGCGTGACGTCACTTACGGGTATCCAATTAAATCTGATTCAAACCACATGGTTAAGCATAATAATTTCTTCTAAAATTGCAAGTACTCAATTCAAAAAATATTTGAAAACTGTTCACCGTACATTCAATCTTACTCGGTATTTTTACTATTGTTAGTATATATTTTTACTGTCGCCTTCATCTTTTGTTTTATTTCAGCAATTTCTTTTCTAAACAAGTCATAAGCTTACCTTCTCTTTTAAATCATTTCATTGAAATCATTTGCTGCCCTTAAAGAGCTGTTCAAGATGTAAATTAACAATTCGTTTAATTTGTTATTTTAAAACATGCTTCAGCAATCAAGTTTCTAGAAAACTTTATTAATTGGTTACTACATGCATTATATCAATTATATGATTTGTATCTTAATTGATTTATACCTTATTGTTATTACAATGCTGATTTTTTTTAATTGTACTGATGAAAATTGAATCTTAATATTTTTATAGCAATGTGTATTATTGCCTAATACACATTGCTAACCATTCTAGAGGTCAAAGCCAAAGGTTCAAAGCCAAAGGTTCTAAATTAGTTAAGGTATTATATGCACATTGAAATAAAATAAATAAGCTATGTACTAAACTGCGAAATTTATGGAATAAAGGTACTTATTCACTTAAAGGAACCGTAGGAAATTGCCAAACTATTATGGACGACAATAATGCTTTATAAATGCTGATAATGTGCATTAATTGAACTAAACAATAAAGTATCTATTTAAAAGCAAAGTTAATAAAGAAAAGATATTTATTTCGCTTTAGGAGTACTATTATTCACCATATTATTATTATTAATACCTACGCTTAATTAATATTGGTAATATGTATTAATTGAAATAAAAAAAATAAGATACGTACTAAAAAGCAAAGTTAGCGGGGAAAATCTTAATAGCAAATTCGTTTATAGGAACCGTAGAAAATTATTATACACAGATAACGCTTAAAAAATTTTGGTAATTTGTACTATTGGTACTATGAAAATTAGTGATGTTTGAATAAAAATTCGTAGTTCGTAGTTTCAGAAAATAATTTTTGAGTGATAGTAGAGACTGTATGTTAATATTTTGGAATGAATTAAAAGAACTTTTTTCATCACCACATATTCTTGTATTTAAACAGCATATTAACATAACATAGAGAAATGATCATACTCCAAACTCCTTATCAAGGTTTCGTAATAATTCAATTTGTTTTGTTTTTTTTAAATTTTGGCTTTAATTTGCGGTCACTAATAAATGTATTTCTCACGAAACTCAAATGTTGAACAATTATGCAATCAGCACCAAATATACTAATATGGATATAAAGTAATATATTGATATATTTGATGATTATTAAAACTGCACCAACTCAAAGCAATTTTAATACCGATACTGTTACAATCAGTGACTTACGCTCACTTGAAAGGGATAGTTACCAGAGAAAATTAATAACGGTAAATTTTGACTATCATGATTTGGTCGCTAGCAATATCATCACACCAAGTGATGCTAAATACAGATAATCTCTATTCTTATGGATGAGATACAGAAACCGCGTGTCTTTCTTAATACAATAAAGCAAAGCCGCGATGACTCAGGGGATAGAGCGTTCGCCTTCCAATGGGGTGAAACCGGGTTCGAATCCCAGCGATGGCTGGTCGATATGATTTCCACATCCGGCTTGCACCGACTACAATGCTAATCTGAAATATCCTCAGTAGTAGAAGGATCATAGGTTAGAGTCCCCTTGTCGTCTGGCTAACCGTGGGAGTTTCTCGTGATCTTCCTCTCCATGTAATGCAAATGAGGTTTGATCCATCAAAAAGTCTTCCACGAAAGGCAATTTCTCCCGATATTTGATCCAGAAGTTCCCTTGTCTTCTGACTTGGGTTCAAAATTAGAAGGCTACGGAGTTGAACATTAGTAGACGTAAACCTAAATTTGGGTCGGCTGTTCAACGACTATTCTAAAATTATAAATTAATACAGTAACGCAAAGTTACCGGGAAGGGCAACAAATAATAATAAATAAATAAAAATGAATTTATTTTAGCTTTGCTATTTGGAGAGTTAAGTGGAGAAACCAGGTAGGTGACATTTTCGGAGAGGCTATAATCAGGATATGATGGAAAAAAAGTTTCTTTGAATTGTTTTAATGCTGATTTATTTGAAGGCTAATAAGAAGAACTAATAATTCTTCGTCTTATTTCATTTACCTCTGTCTAATT